AAAAGTGGGCTTGAAGCTCAACATCAAAAAAACTAAGATTATGGCATCCGGCCCCATCACTCCTTGGCAAATAGAAGGGGAAGTCATGGAAGTAGTGACAGACTTCACGTTCCTGGGATCCCAGATCACCGCAGACTGTGACAGCGGCCATGAAATTAAAAGACGCCTGCTCCTTGGGAGGGAAGCGATAGCGAACCTAAACAGTATGATAAAAAGCAGAGACATCACCCTGCCAACAAAAGTCCGCATGGTCAAAGCAATGGTATTCCCAGTAGTCATGTATGGCTGCGAGAGTTGGACTATAAGAAAGGCCGAGCGCTGAAGAATAGATTCTTTTGAACCATGGTGCTGGAGAAGACTCTTGAGAGTCCCTTGGACTGCAAGAAGATCAAATCAGTCAATTCTAAAAGAAATCAACCCTGACTGTTCCCTGGAAGGCCAGATAATGAAGCTGAAGCTCAAATACTTTGGCCACCCAATGAGAAGGGAGCACTCACTGGAGAAGACCCTGACGCTGGGAAAGATTGAAGGTCAAAGAAGACGGGGACGGCAAAGGATGAGATGGTTAGACAGTGTCATAGATGCAACGAACATGAAATTGAGCAAACTTCAGAGGACGGCGGAAGACAGGAAGGACTGGCGTGATCTGGTCCATGGGGTCGCAAAGAGTCGGACTCGACTGTGCGACTGAACAACAACAACAAAATCCAGGTGCCTCCTGAAATTAGAGGAAAGACTGGTTGGCATTGATCAAAAATGACTGTGAAATGGAAAACTATACTAAAAATGTGTGTGAATGTATTTGACTGTCGGCTCTGATGAAGACAGTGCTGGGCCATGAAATTTGTTAGCCGTAAAGGAATCTTTGTTGTGTTTGCTGCATCATGAGTATTATTCTAAATTAAATCATAACAGGGTTAGAATGTAAATAATTCTCTTTAAATGAGAAAACAATAGTATCCTTGAAAATTTTGTGCTGGGATCTACTAGGAAAATAAGATTTATTATCGGCCCTTCCTTTGGGGCAAAACGGTCAAAGAAAGAAAGGGGAAAATATTGTCCCAAAGGAACCCAAGAAAAAGGAGTGTCAGCGAAGGAATTACGGTGTGGATAATGGTCTGGTAATTGTCTGGTTGTGATTTGACAGACAGAAGACTATTTTCCTTTTTGTAGAAAAGCAAGTAAGGATGAAGTCTTCTGTTGGTCAGCTAACTTGTTCAGTCAGCCATCGTCTATTCGCTAACCTCTTTCCACTGTCAAAAGCCGAACTGTCTAAACTTAACTGAGCCAGTTTGGTATAGTGGTTAAGTGCGTGGACTCTAAACTGGGAGAACCGGTTTTGATTCCCCACTCCTCCACTTGCAGCTGCTGGATGACCTTGGGCAAGCCATAGTTCTGTCAGAGCTGTTCTCTCAAGAACAGTTCTCGAAAGAACTCTCTCAGCTCCACCTACCTCACAGGGTGTCTGTTGTGGGTAAGCCGCTCTGAGACTCCAAGTATAAATCCGATCTCCTCCTCCTCCTCCTCCTCTTCTTCTTCGTCTTCTTCTCCGCTTCCCAGGCCACAGCTCCTGTTGGTTGCTGGAGCTTCAGACCTGTTGGCTATTCTATGCTGAGTAGGTTCCCCTAACACACACACCTCCCGTGACAGAACTGTTTTCGCAGTGTGGCTAAGGGAAATCCCTGATTAAAATCTCCCCCTCTGCCTGAACTCACTAGATCTAGGCTTGATAGCCCCCAGGTCTGAGTGATGTCCCCGACGCAATGATGTCACCCAAAAGTGACGTCATCACGTTGGGGACGGCATGCTGGGACACACTGGTATTTGGGGAAACTCTATGGTTTGAGGGTGGAAAAAACCATAGAGTTTTGCCCAAATACGAGAGTGTCTCTGTGCAACATCCGCTATGCGATGATGTCACTTTCAGGTGAGGTAATTGCATCAGGGATGTTGTGTAACCTCCCCTCCCACCTCTGGAACGCCCCCCAATTCCCCTGCTGGAGTGGCGAAGGGACCTGGCAACCCTATCTAGATCAGAGGTCCCCAACCTTTTTAACCCTGTGGGTACCTTTGGAATTCTGACACAGCATGGTGGGTGCTGCTTCAAAATGGCTGCCACAGGAGGTGGAGCCAGCCACAGCTTACCTTCAGTCACACAGTGAATAGCCTTGTGCTGTGGGTGGCAGCTGCTGTGCCCTGCCCAAACAACATCTTTTTGAATCTGCGCAGCCAATCAGATCTCCAGTGGCCAGTCAGAAGCCTTGCTGGGCCAAAAGCCCACCCACTTTCTAAGAACAGTTGGCAGGTGCCAGAAAAAGGTTGTCAGCAGGCACCGTGTTGGAGACCCCCACTAGATGGCCTTTGGACCAGCCCCTTTCTCTCAACTTGGCCCTCCATCATCCGCATCAAGAGGATAATAATATACAGTACAGAGCTGCCGTACGGCTAACAACAAGATGATATATTTGAAGCACTTAAGTAAATGCCAAGAAGCATAGTTCTTATGGGAACTGGTCATGAAGGTCTAATCCCTGAACCTCCCTTGGAGAGTGTCCTCCTCTTGTTTTGAGAACTGTGGTTTTAGAATATAGCCCAGAATATAATTGAGCATTAAGGGCTGCCCTGGAACCCCATAATCTTTTTCCCCCCCTCAACAACGAATATGGGTTTTGATAGAATTCCATAACGGTTTGCCAGTAATGTATGACTTTCCGTTCCCACCCATGTTCACCGCTGATGCCTGACGAACTGAAAAACCAAATGTACAAATCCTGCCTGAGTCAGGTTTTCTCAGTGGCTTCTATTACTCCGATCTGGAAATCTTTCTCTCATGGTCTACCAAAAGCCCAGCCTCAACTGTCACCCAGAAGAAATACAAAAATTTGATTATTTTTTTTTAAAAAGCACACATTTGGAGTAGCATTTAGTGGTCAGAGAGATAAATATTAGCCTTAAGAAATGTGGTGTGAGTGAATTATACATGTAAAGAAATTAATATGGAGATAGAATGTCCATAAGACAGAAAAATAGGGTTGGTTGTTTTAAGCAGGCATAGTGGCAAGCAAGGACTTTAAAGAATACATAAGAACATAAGAGAAGCCAATGTTGGATGAGGCCAATGGCCTGTCCAGTCCAACAATCTGTGTCACACAGTGGCCAAAAATACCAGGTGCCATCAGGAGGGCCAGCAGTGAGGCCAGGACACTAGAAGCCCTCCCACTGTTGTCCCCCCCCCCCAAAAGCACCAAGAATACAGAGCATCCCTTGCCCCAGGCTGAGAGTTCCTATCTATACCTTGTGGCTAATAGCCACTGATGGACCTCTGCTCCATATGCTTATCTAATTCCCTCTTGAAGCTGCCCTACAAAATAGAGTAAGTCTACAATACACAATTGTGAATAAATGTACAACGAAGATCCCGGATATTGGCTTCGTTTCGAGCGTCGTCGTCTTCACGGACGTTTTTCTACAAATGCTAAAAGTACAGTGACATTTAGCATTTGTATAAAAACGTCTGTGAAGAAGAAGATACTCGAAACGGAGCCAATACCCGGGATCTTCATTATGCATTTATTCCCAATTTTGTAGTGTAGATTTACTCTTATTTTGTATTCTTTGCATATTGTAATTTGCATTTACTGATGATTTAAATGGTTTCACAGCATAATAGGCTTTTTGCCTTGTCTAGCGTCCCGTCCCACAGCTTTGCTGGGAAGTCCTCTCTCTCTTTTGTTCAAGCCAGGACTTCAGGCACAAAGCCATTAGACAACCTTAGGACCTCAACTGGGGTTGCCAGCCTCCAGGTGGGACCTGGAGATCTCCCAGAATTCCAACTGATCTCCAGACTACAGGGATCAGTTCCCCTGGAGGAAATGGCCGCGTTAGAGAGAGTGGACTCTGTGGCATTATAACCTGCTGAGGTCCCACCCCGAGCTTTGTCCCCCAAATCCCCAGAAACTTCCAACCCAATTTGGCAACCCCCATCCCCTGCAAGGATCACAACAAATCTTTGAAGGCTTTATTGTAAGATTATTGAGATAATCCAGTCTAAAAAGGTAAAGGTAAAGGTTTCTCTTGCTCGAAAGCCAGTCGAATCTGACTTTAGGGGGCGGTGCTCATCTCAGTTTCCAAGCCGAAGAGCCAGCGCTGTCCGAGGATGTTTCCGTGGTCACGTGGCCAGCATGACTAAACGCACGGAATGCTGTTACCTTCCTACCAAAGCGGTACCTATTTATCTACTTGCAGTGTCTTGCTTTCGAACTGCTGGTTGGCAGGAGCTGGGGCCAGGGACGGGAGCTCACTCCATCACGCAGCTCTCGGGTCTCGGAACTGCCGAACTGCAGTCCTTCCGGTCTGCAGCTCAGTGTAGTAGCGCTTTAAAGACAAATAAGAGAATAGTAAACGTTTCCCAGACCAGAGCCCATTTTGCCAGATGGACTGTATAAATGCTTAGTCCTATAAAATCAAGTTCAGGTGTTGGTGGGTGGTATGGAAAGAGGACGTTTTCTGTCGTGCTCCTTGTATTTGAGTTCTCAATAAATTCTTAAGTGTTTGGTGTTAAATAGTGGTTGCGGGGGAAGGTCGGGGTGCCAGCTCACCAAATACGCCTGGTTGTAAAATATTCTTTTTACCATATTCCCCCCCCCCAAGGGAACTGAAAGGCAAGATTGAGAAAGAGAGCACCAAGCGAGAACTGCTGTCCAGCCAGTCCCACCTCAACGACACCCACTGCATCCATTGCCTGCAGCCCTTCCGGTTCCTGGTGAACAGCAAATGCTGCTGCTTGGACTGCCACCTCTACACCTGCAAGAACTGCAGCCTTTTCAATAAGAAGGAGCAAGGGTGGGTGTGTGACCCG